TAAAAACTCAATTATTTTGAGTAAGCAAAATTCATTTAAAATAACATTTTAAATGTACAAATGATTTTTTGATTTTTTAATAAAATTTAACCAACACTAATTACTTACAAAAATAATTTTAACTACTTCCTTTTTGTTTTAAAAATTAAGTAAATAATTATTATGACAATAATTGTTTTATTTGTTTAATTTTTTATAAAATTGTGTTTTTATTAAGGCACATATAAATATAGCTTTTAAATCAAATTTCCATGGGGATTTAATGTCATTTGATGGTACATTAGGAGTTTTTGCACATACACTTACTCCTAGTAGAGGCAATGTTCATTTTGATGATTCTGAAACATGGACAACGGGGACTAAAAGAGGTAAAATGAATTCAAATAGATAACTGTATAGTTTACATTTTTAAATTAATATAAAATATATATTAATTATTTAGGTACTAATTTATATCAAGTGGCTCTTCATGAGTTTGGCCATATGTTAGGATTAGATCATTCGAAAATTAAATTTTCTGTTATGAGACCAATTTATCCGGGGTACAATCCAAATTATAAATTAAAAAATGACGACATAGAAGGAATTCAAGTACTATTTCATAACCAGGTATTATTTAAAATAATTAATTGCTATGTATGTTATAGGAGTTGTATGGTGAAAATACTTCTATGGATAGACAAAAAAAAGTTATTGCTAAAAGACATACAAATCAAGAATATAATAAATTTAATAAATATCATAAAGATATATGCAAAAATCCTAAAATTGACACCATACTTATTTCTCGTGGTGGAGAAACTTATATATTTAAAAGTAAAAAACTTCTTACTAAATTTTTTATTTTCTCTANTAAACTTCATACTAAATTTTTTATTTTCTCTATCGTCACTTAAGAAGCAACGCCGTAAATCTTTAATGTTGTCTAAAATGAGTTAGCAACACATTTTTATACGTTTTATTGTGGTGCGTATATTGGTGTACTCAGATATGTAATAAAGTAAAAAAAGAGTTTTAATAAAAAAATNAGTAAAAAAAGAGTTTTAATCAAAAAATTGATAACACGACTTAATGGTTTCAATGGCGCAGAAATAAATTATTTTCCAGTAAAGTTTATAAAATAAATTGTTAAATATCTTAAGTAACGATATAAGACATAATATATGTA